GGTGAGAAAAAAGATGTTATTTGCCCAATATGACTCACAGGTCAGTGTTTTGGAAAGAGGTCAAAGTTAGATGAAATGGTTAAGCTCACTTCTAAAAGCCATACGACATCTGTACAATGAGGACGTCCCCCACGGCAGAAAGCGACCATTCACACGCACAGACGCAGAGAAAAAGGCCGCCATCTCCCACTTTGTTTATCCGGCTTCCTGCGACCACCGAAACGAAGGGCCATCAGCAGCCCTTCTCTGTACGAACGGGGACGGACTGCTTGGAGAGAAGCCGCTCTGCTCCCTCCGGAGGAATTGCTACTGCCCAGCACTAGCAACATCTGCATCATTAGCAAATAGTCCTCCCCCCTCTTTAGCTTCCAGGGAGCACCAGTCTTCCGTGCTGGCAGTACCTCCACGTCCCATGTTGAAAGCAGCAGACCTGCTGCTCGTTATGCAGCTATACTATTGCACAGAGTCTTTTAAATAGGAGCAGATGGGGGGGGGAGTTCCTCTCCCCACACACTTTTCCTTTGGCATCTTCTGAAAGTTCTCATTAAGATACTAAGCTTGAGGAGTGATATTTTATTAGTTACTCATTGTTGGTTGTCTCCTCGACAATATGCTATGAAGGTATTAGGAGAAAAATGGACCAAGGCAATCTACTGAGTTTTGTGGTCTGGGCCAGAGAGTAACAGCTATGTTTTAAGACCGTTTGACCTCACCTAAACAAATAAAACTGCTTCCTCATTAGGGCTTCCAGTCAGCATTAAGCAGCAGGAAGCTAACGTATTTTCCTCTTTATTATACCTCAGGTGCAGTCTCGCTGTATGAACCAGAAACTCTAAATTTTCAATGGAGATTTGGATCAATCCACTATTTGCTTAAAATCAGTATCAGTTTATTTAGCCAGAAATGACTAGACACTTGGCTCTGGTAATGATTCCTCTCTTGCATCAATTTCAGACTGAATTTTAAGTTATTTAATCGAAATTATGCACCTTGATTTTCTTCAGGTTCTTGTACATCTTCCGAGTGGGAACTAAGGATCAAGAATCAGAGACAATTGTTTCTAATTAAAAAGAGAATGATGTATGGATCCATCTTCCTTCCCTACAATGCTTGTGTCATTATTAAAGAAACCTATCTTAGAAAAGTGCTTAAAAATCACATATTTTACACTTAAACTTTGCTAAATTTCATATTGCAACACATACAGGACAAATCAGCTCCAGATTAATGTCAAGATTTTAGAATCTGGTGCTTCTTACCTGAGAAAAGCATGAATTCATTAACTGTCAGAAATATCAATCTCCAGTCTATTCTAAGAAATCTCATCCAGTCTTCATACTCCATTGTAAACGTTGCCCACGGTAAAATACCTCAAGCTACTGCCCAAAACTATAAAAAATGTGTATCAACCTGCACCTTCAGAGTCAACACCAAGTCCTAACATACTGCCTCAGAATCGGCAGCAAGAGCACAAAGGAAAAATCAACTTCCCCCCCAGCCTCTGACAGACAGACAGAGTTAGAGAGACAGAGCTTGAGAAAGAGAAGCCAGTTCAACAGTGAAACATCTGAACATGGGAAGGAAGCTGGGTTTGATCCAAGCAAAGACTGGAAGGCTCTAAGAGGTACCAAGCATAAGCCAGCACCCCCAGATGCTTCTCTGCTAGCTAAGGGAATATAAAAACAAACAGCTCTCAAGGATCAGAGCGCAGGTAGCATTTCACATTAAGTCTTTGTTTAGCGTACTGTTTTCTCTTGTCACGGCAATGAGGCAGTGAATTGCAAAGTTACAGTGGAGAGAGAGGAGAAATACATCATGCGATCTACGTGCAGCACATCAACAGGGGCACTCATCCTCTGGTGCCGCACAATTTCCTCTTCTACAACATACTGTCTTGTAGGAGACCGTCTCACCAAACACATCGCAGAGCTCAGTAAGCGGCTATACAGGAGGAAGAGTCTGTTTGGAGATTTCTCTGGGAACAGATGGCTTCAAGGCAAAGGCCCAGGAAGGCTGCTCTGTCAGGGGTGGCTCTGGAAGAGAGACTCTCCTACGAGGAGGGGACAGCTTGCCGAAGAAGCCAGCCAGAAGGCTCTGGTGGGTGACAGGCCTGCCAGCAGTACTCAGCGCTCTCCCCCGATGGTGAGGGGCCACCTAGTCCCAACCCTGCTCGGTTCTGTTAATGATCTTTCCCCTGCCTCCTCGGTAACACAAATCCAATTAGACATACTTGCAAACCTACCTACAGGCAACTGCGCGCTATTTAATCCTACACATTTACCTACAGTTCTGAGCCAAATGCTCACGGGCATGAACAAGTGAGACCTGGAGTAGCTTTTCTGCTGCTCACAATTTGCCTACAAGTGCCATTTGAATTAGCATTTTTATAATTTATGTGCACAAGCTGAACAACATTTTTAAAAGACTGACTCTCAATTTACACAGGTAGGACTCAGTTTACACAGATATACGTGCACATAACTCTGACTCCAGCAACATTATCTCGAGAGACTTTGCACCTAATGCTTATAAACGTTCCTGTACAGGACTGGTAGCATAGTATCCGGAAGGAATCAAGCAATTTGGGTTCCAGTTATGGCACTTCTCTGTCAGTGTTTCATTTTTTCTTCTCCAACTTAGGCTATTCCTTAGTATGTAGCATTCAAAATTTGTTTCCAAAGGAACATTTGTCATAAAATTATAAAAAATCCTATTTTTGCCTAGGGTTCAAAGAATAACCAGAATTCAGTTTTTCAAGGATGTTTTTCTTCTTTCCCCAAATTATTTGATTCTACTCTTTCTGCTTTGAAGCATGCACCAGCACACGTTTTGAACTGGAATGCTCTGATGAAGCCCGTTTTACAGTGGAAGAAAAGCTGGGTTTTCTTTTGCTGTGATGATATTCCCACTGCCATAAAAACACAAGTGCTTGAAATGCTGAGCCTATACTTAACGGAGTAGTTCACTACACTGTATTTCAGCTCTTCATAACTATGATGCAAAGGCAGCTTTCACTGCCAGCTTGAGGCTAGTTACAGTGACTCATATAAGCTGAAATTGTATAAAATTCCTTTGCAGAGGGACAAGTTCAGTTCACTATTCACCTCCTGTCCTAGTTTGACTTCATAGTCAAACACGAACAAATTATGCCATAAAATCAGGAATAAGAGCTGTAATAAGGAGCAGGGAAGCTTTATATCCTCTTCAAACTAGCTGTCCATGCAGGTTTTTGTTGAACTAGCACGTACTAAGCTGAGTTCTCTGCTAAATCCTCCACTAAAATGAGCTCTTCAAATTTATTTCTTTTTCAGTATATTTCTTTTCCCAAATGAGGGTTAGGGAATACAGTCGATGGACTGTCTCACTGGAAGCTTCTTTCCTTTAACTTTTATGAATTCACGTTTCTAAAAAAAAAAAACAAACAACAAAAAACCAGGCCAATCTTGAGAGTTCTCTTATATGTTCTTGGTCCAACAGGCAACTGTTAAAAACCTTTTCTCTTTTGGAAGTCACAGTCTGCACAGAAATCTCCATTTAGATGAGCTCTGTCCACACCACATTTCTCATTCAAGCAATTATTAACTCTTCTGATTTAAACAACTCTTTTTCCTTCACTTCACTATATCATAAATCCAAATAGCTGAACTCATGCCCCATCTGAAACTTCATTTCATAAGAAAAAAAATGCTGTGGTTACCTCTTTGGTAAAATTAGATTCTGCTAATAGCTTAATTCATTTATTCATTTCTTTTATCCTTCCTTTCCCAAGACTGTTAGATTTCTAAACTTTTCTTTTTGTTAAACTTTTGATGTAATTTATCAGACATTCTGGGCACCATCAAATGTCCACAACCACGCAGAAGCTGCTCAGCACTCTTGAAAATCATGTCACAAAAATCAGTAGTGCACACCTTCATTTTCCACGTGCCCATAACACCTCCTGCACACCTCCAGGGCTGGGCATTGATTTACCATCCATGCTATAGTTAAGGGGATCAAACCCTCCTTCTCTAAGTACAACCGTTCTCTCTTTCTTTGTCACATGTAAATGAAACTACAGAAAAAAGGCATTCCTAAAAACATTTCTAGCACGAGCACTTGTACTGTATTTCCATCAGCCAACACATGTATCAAGGAGATAAAGCTTTAGGGTTCACAGGCTGTGAGAGATAAAGAACACAGTGCCACAAGACTCACAGTCTATCACGATTAGGACTCACATCGGCTTCATAACAAGCTCCCCGTGTTCCTTACCATTTGGCCTGCAAAACTATCTCCAAACTTGTGTCTGGTATCTTCCTTTGTTTTTTTTTCACAGCATACACACTGCCATGCCTCTCCTCTGCCAGATCTCTTCCTTTCAGCCAAATTCAGAGATTTCTCTCTTTTTTTCTTTCTTTCTTTTTCTTCTTAAGAAAATGCATTTCTGTCACAAAAGAGCCAAGTGCAGTTCCAGAGACTTGATGAATAGGCCCAACATATAGACACACGGTTTCCGAGTTGGCCATGTATCATCAGCCTCATTTATCAGTGTGGAAACTTGTGGAACAGCGAAGTGCATTGGCTCCCTAAGAATCCTGTTTCGGTCCCTGGGATAAAATCTGCTCCTCACGTTCTGTAGTCCAATCATTTATCAACAGTCTCAGATTAGCATTTTCTATTTCCTTTCTTTCGTATTGCAGTCAGCTATAGAGCTCTTCCCTTGAGAAATACCAAATTATCCACACCTAATTGATTTCTTATGTTGATATCATTGGCAATGCTAAAGTAGAAAAAATAATTTGAGAACTGAAATGTTAACTGGAATCCAGTAATTCTTACAAAGCTGAAAAAAATAACAATTTGATCTACTCCCACACAGTTTAGCAATGATAAAAACAAACAGGACTGCTACAGAATGGCATTCAAACACAACGCAGTAATTTTCCACTCACTGTTTTTATGTGACTATCAATACAAAACCATGAGCTGATAGATAAATGAATAATTGGCACCATTACCAGAGCAGACGAAGTCCTTCTTCTGCACCTCCGCCACAAGAAAACCCCGCAGGCTGACAGGTGCCAAGCAGAAGGTGAACTGCCCGATGGTGCGCCTCTGCCGCAGCCAGTCAGACAGCCAGGCCAGGTGGCAGTCGCAGTGCAGGAAGTTGGAGTGAAGCCGCCTACGAAAGACAGAAAACCCTCCGGTTATTAGCAGTTTTTTGAACAGAAGACACAAACCAGAGCAATCAAGTACAAGGCTGTCTGGCTCTTCACCGCAATTTAAGCAGGATCATTGCAGGTTATTGGTTACAGCTGAGTCAGGCCTACATTGCCATATAATATACAAATGTCCACATATAAATTAGTGCTATTATTTATAACGTCCTGGAAGAATGAAGCTAAATAATTATCTGCCTACATGTAATCATGAGCTGGCCATTATAGAGAAAAGAACATGCAGGATTTCAGATTCCTCCAAGTAATCACTTTGCCTGTGATTTCATATCAGAAGTAACTGCATGGATGAGGTATCTTTGAGCGAATTCAAAAGATGGATTGTATAAACACGAGGACCAGGCTGAAAAACAGGATGATAGGCGATTCTTCCCTCTTCTCTCTTCTTTGGGGAGGGGGGGGAGAGACAGCGAGAGAGACAGACAAACAGACTGACCCCACACACCAGAGGCTATTGATACCTTGTATGGTCCTGTCTTGCCTGTACAAATTCACTAATGCTCTTTTTACAGTGGCAGTTTAACATGAGTATGCAGGTTCTAGACAGGAGTTTTCAACTTGTGATGAAGAAGGGGACCACGACAGGGTCACGACACACAGCGACGCCGGGGCCGTTCTTTGTAACGGAGGATCTAGCCACACAGCTGCCCTCCCAGCCTGCTTCTCGCCTGGCCCTAGAGACGTGCAGAAGCATTATCACATTGCGGGGGGAAGTCTGCAAAATGATGATGCGTTCAGGGAGCGAATCTGGTAATTTTAATAGCTACCAAACTTTAGGTCAAAACAAAAGCCCAGGACATTAATTATTTCATTCCTTGTAACGAGTCATACATTTGCAGTGTTATATCAAATCTCAAATGATAAAACAGATTGAAAATCCTGTCAGAAATGGTGAGACGAAGCATTATTCACTAATATTACAGGCATTACATTTAAAAAAAAGCACACAATTGGTGCACGCAGGATTTAGTCTTGTCCATCCACCAAAGAAATTAACTGTCTGTCCGCGAGATCTTCATGCTGCACCGCAGCAGCGCAGGTCAGCAGTGGTGCCGGGGCTGACAGTCCCCAGACTTGCATGTCTGGGGTGGGCAGCCACAGTAAAAGACCACAAATCTGGAACTGAAGAGTTATTCCTGTAGAGCTGGAAGACATTAGTCTCCTGGAGCACTGTAAAACATAATTGTTTTAGAAGGATGGCTAGAAGACCTTGTTTTTAGGGATTATGAAGCTATTTAATTGACACTGCAGTAAGTTAGATTTCTAGTAATATGTTTTGTTATTATGAGCCATTAATCTGCCTGGAACACTTTTTGCTGATTGAAAGAACCAATAAATCCATTTACAAAGAAAAAAGAACAAATATCACCTAGCCAGAAACCATCCTAAGTAAGACTTTGTTCTAAGTTAGAGAATAAGCATTTCATTTAAATCCTCAAAGTATCATCCCTTCCCCCCACAGCAGTCAACAACCATATTGAGAATCATCTTCCTTCAGGAGCTGAAGCAGAGCTCATCCCATGCCATTCCCCACATCCCCTGTATGGATGGAGGCAGGCAGGAGTAACAAACCCACATTTTCACAAGAGGGGCAGCTTTCCAGTTCTGTGAGTTGTTTTTTTCCCCTCACTAAATTTGTATTGCTGATTTCTGGGTTTTCCCGTTTCAGGGGTGCGGCCTGGCACCTCTTCGCCAGCTCGTCTGCCTCAGCAGAGCCCGGCCTTGTCGTTTGTTCAGGTTTTCTGCATGGGTATTCTACAGTTTGCTTTTGAGAGGAGACCATTCAGAGAGTCTATCAAGCTTAACAAAGCAGCCTATTAGAATATATTTTTGATAATTATATTAATGAATACAGCCACGAAAAGACTTTTCACAGTACTTCAATAGCATAATACACCAATTCCCTGTGAACGTGAAAAGCACTGAAGTGATTTGGTACATTTTCGGTTTACCCTTAAGTAACAAAATTAAAAGAAATTATGCAATTACTTATCTCAGCAGTCACTCACACATGCAGAGATAACAGGACACTGACCATTTAGCAAATAGGTATGGGGGACATGCCTTAACATAAATAAAGCTGTTTCCAGCAAAGGAAAGCAGATCAATAAAAACTAATTCCTGTCACTTCCAATCAAGGCTAAAAGATCAATGAAACTTAGCAACAGAAAAGACAGTTAAATAAAAAAGGTTAGCACAGAAAAGCTGATTTTTTTTAAAGAATTCTTCAAGTGCTTCAAACCTTACTAGCACTTTTTTTTTTTTTTCCTTCCCTGAGAGATCATGTTCAAGTTGAATATACTGTTTATTTTGCCTTCTCTGCTCTTCTTAAATGAGCAGCTTGTTTTGAGAGCCATGAAGAAAAAGCTATTTATCCACAGAACTACCACAGCAGATGCAGAGGTGGCACAAGCAGCCCCAAATGTTCCGCTAATGGATCTCACTAGTGCGTGAGAGAGACACCTAGAGAAAAGACTATCCACACCCCACTGGGCCTCAGCTGGGTGGGAAAAAGGGCTTGTCCCTACTTAAGCAACATTCAGACCAAGGATTCCCTCCAACAGCTTCGGGGGAAAAAAGCACGTCTAAAGTGTGAAGCTGTTTGAGAAGGTGTACAAACTGATGACCTTTTTCCAAGAAAACAGTCGAGTCACCAAACTGTAAGGAACGTCATTCATGATCCATTTGGGCTGAATTTGCATCAACCACCAAGAGATGAAATCGTAGACCTTATTCAGCCATTACGCCTCAGACAGCTTTCTCCTTTTGTGCAAACTGTTCATTGAGGTTTTATATTAATGCAGGAGAAAACAGGTTATCAAGTGAAATAAAGCTCAGGAAACTAGAGAGAATATTAACGTTTCCCCCCAAATAGTATCTTTATATAAATATTTTAAATGCGTGAACAAAAACAGTTTTACGTGTGCTGAGGGGTGTATCTAGTTGTTAGGGTAGTACTATCCTTTTACAGAAAACTTAGTTAATCAAATCAGTATTAGCCTAAACTCTGAACAGATGACGTTCAGAAAATATTGAGTAATATGTAGGTATACAAACTGGTTTCATTAATACTTATAATTAATAAAGTATTAATTGTGAAAAGTGCTAAGATGACTTGGGGATAGAGCAAGAATTTTCAACATGAAGGAGCAGCAGAAGAAATTATGAAATGCTATTTGATTCCTGTATTTATCTTCCATTAATTGCTATTTTGATGACTTTTCTGCCTCTGTTGAAACAGATGGAAGGAAATACAGAAAACAAAACCATTTTACTGTATTTCCACCTGTCTACGCAGGATTTTTTAATTCCTATATTGAACTGCTAAGAAGGGTACTGCGTGTTATTTGGCAGTCTTTGGAGACTGAAACGTGCCACTTGATATTGATGAAACTACCTTTACAGAACATGAGGTGAATGAATACGAATGCAAGTTTGCAAAGGTGCCCTTTTAGCCGTAGACCCTAAATTAAATTTCCAGCAAATCCTTTTAGAGTGGGTCAGCATTCATGTTCTATAAAATGTGGCTCTCAGAATTCAATATAAAAGCTTCCCTTTATAAATCCTATTTATGACTTCCTTCCCCCCCCCTTTTTTTTTTCCTTTTTTTTTCCCCCTTAATTACAGCAGAGGGGGATTAGTCAGTGTAAGTCTCCAGGGAGCTATATACAAAGCCATCTCCGAAATTAAACTAAAAGGAAAGTGGCAGAAGGCATTGAGCTCTGGTAACAGACAAGACTGACTAATCTGAAGAAGCCAAGCAAATTTTCTGGACCACTGTGACTGAATGAGAAAAGGCAAAACTCCAGGAACCTTAACCCTACACCTTTATCTTCTTTATCCATTCTCTTCTAAAAGACAAACATCTAATTTCCATTTAATTACTTATTAAGATCTATGAATGTCACCACTTAATGAAGAATGTAAATTTAAATCAGACGCTATCTTACATAGATTGACACGAGTAAGAGCCATTTTTCCTCAGTTCTGTTAACTTATTTAATATGATTTTACACATGTGTACATAACATCCTTGAAGCATTTTATTTTTTCAGTGCCACAGGAAATTTTCAGGCTAGCTACTATTTCCCTTTCTTTGCTTTTAGTACTAAATATATCTTATTTGAGTTCAAGATTTTGAAGCAAAAAACAGAGAGACTTTGTTTAAACATGACTTTTCCTGAAGTTGTGTATTTCCTAAAGGAATTTAAAGGAATAATTTATTTAAAGCAAATGCTTTTGGTAGGCTATGGCTAAATTATACAAAGGCACACACTCTAATTTCACAGTCTTTGTATTCTGGTCTACTAAAGTCGATCAGGGCTTTTTCAGCGGAATGGTGCCCAGCTATAGAAAAATGGATTTGACATAAGAGAAGCTTTTATAAAAAATGCATCAGAATCAGTGATGTTTTGTTTCAGAAAGTATCTGGAAAAGAAGCTTTTTTCAAGTTCTTTAAAAAATTTCTTGTTTCAGAAATTTGAAAAGAAGGAATAGGATTTCAGCCGCCTTCACAACCCTGCCCAGCCTCACCAGGGGCTCCCCGGGCTCCCCCAGCCCTGCCGTGGCCCAGGACTCCAACACAGCCCAGCCCGGGGCTCCCAGCCCCTGCCCCAGCCCACCCTGCCTGGCCACGGGCCCCGTCTGAGCTGCTCCCCACCCATGGGCTGATGTCCCGGCCTGGCCTCAGCTGTCCCCGTCCCCACGGAGGAGCCGGGGGCTGCCCCCACTGTGGGGTGTCCCTGTGGCTCAGCCCAGCCGCAAGGCCCTGCTTGGGCCCGCCATGGCCCTCACAGGGTCAGTAGTCGTCTTCCTCGGGAGAGCAGGGTGAATTGTTCACATCGGGAAGAGACTGAAATATGATTATCACAAGACGACAAATATCCAAAGAGTTGGCTTACACCGTTATTATTATTGTAATATTAAAAGATATTACTTACAGAGTCCTGATCTTTGGCATGTGATTGAAACTGGTAACAGGAATGCGGGTGATGTTGTTATTGTTGAGAGTACTGTTAGGAGGAAAAAAAAAAAAAGAGAGAAAAGAGAATAATAGATTGATCAATTACTTAACATTTCGTCACCAACACACTATTTACAGAAACAAGCTGCTAAAACTCTTGGTAATAAATCTGCCAGGCTGTGAGCAGTCAGACATGCTGACCGATACCTCAGACCATTTGTGACATAGCATGAAAGATGTTGTTAAGGCAAAGCAACCAACAGCTGCATAAGAATGGATGAAGGTTACTATTTACCACGTCCGAGTACCAAGAAGCAGAGGAGATGAGTTTTTAACGACTACTAGAGCGGATTCAGACTTTCTGGGTAAGCCACCGCTTTGCTTGAAAACCTGACACAACTTGAGTGGAGGAACATCAAACTCGCACACCGCAGCGTGAAAGCTTTGCACTGAAAGCGCTCACTCGCACACACAAAGAGAGCTGTTGACTCTCCCAGGCTTGTTAACACAGCCAGCTTACATGGACAGACAGCTCAAATTGCCCTTTTGAAAACACACGGACGGATGGATACCCTTTCTTTGGTTTCCTTATGAAAAAAATATACAGGTAGTGGAACGGACCGTAATAAAACATGTCATGACCCAGGTGTGTAAGGATTTCTGCTGCTCTATCAAAGCAGACCTTAAAGAGAAAATGATCTCAGCTGCTGGTAGGGACCCCCTCAGCGCTTCTTATGAGAAATGAACTGACTCGATTATCATCAGCTGAGTGTGCTGCTCCCATTTATGTAGCTCCTAATTATATCAATGACTCTCTAGCAAATTAGAAGCTATAAAGTTTATCAAGATGGCACAGGAAATGGGAAGCCCTCCAACAGGGCGTAATTGTCATGCTCCAAGCGCACCAAATCCGCAAATACAGTAGCCCAGTTTGTCATCAGAATTGATGGGGCCGGGGATGATGCCATGGCCCAGCGTGGCCAGTCCTGCTGCTGGCTGCAGCTGCCTACATGAAACGTGCGGTGCCCAGAGCAGCGCGGCACGGAGCAACCCCTGCTTTGTACCGGGGCACAGCGCTCCACAGAATCACCTGGGTAGGAGATAGCGCTTTTGCGTGTTTGTGTATGGGCTGAAGAAAATACCTGCTGAAGCAACCTAAAGGCACATTACCCTTCCCTGAACGACGTAGTTGTTCCAATGTTATGTATTTACATTGGACATTTAATCACAAGCTCTTGAAGAGTTTTACAGAACTCTTTAGCCCTCTTGGTCATCTGCCAATTTAAAAACATTTTTACAATTCTGCCTAGAAATTGCTTGGCAAAACCATCATCTACAGCATCAGCAGATTAAAGCTACATTAGCTTACACCCTGCGAAGACTTTTTCTGGTACACGGGAAGACACATACGCACACTGGCAAAGCCGGGAGGTTGCGGGGTAACGCGGCTACGCGCAGGCGCACCCAGGAGCGGCGTGCGAGCAGGCTCTGACGCTGGCACCAGCGTGTTCGCGTTGCTGCTGCGCCGCATCCCAGCAGGACAGAACACGACCACTTTGTTATTAGGATCGTAAGCTGGTATTTCAGCATAGTGCTGCACCAGATGGATGCACCATCGATCTGGAACCAGCTTAGGGGCTGACAGACCCATGACAGCAAGCTGCACCAACAGAGCAAAATTACCCTTCCTTTCCAAACCTGTGAGCAGAGCGAGTTATGTCAGTAAAAGCAAAGTTTTGGAAATCTGGAATCTGCATGTGAGATCTGTTGCCAGAGATCTGTGTCAGTCAAGTCACGCACATTCACACACCAGGCTGATAAGAGCTGTAGGCCTCAGTGCATCACAGCTTATGGTATAATATATAGTATTCATTCCAGATCCTCTGGAAAACTTGATGCTGCCAAAAATTTGGCAAGAAACACATAGTTAAGTATCGGGATCAATGGGTGTACAAAATTACAGGTTTGTGTATTCAATTTCTCAATATGCAAAGACTCAAAGCGCAGTCTATTATAAATTTACTGGATAAGATGAAGAGGGAAATACTGACAACTTCAGAAGTAAACCTGAAAGTAAGCTCTCACAGCTATCAGCCATGTCAGTTCATCAGCTGTGCATCACGATCCGCACATGCCACCGCCATACCGTGGCTTCGGAGCTGGAAGTGAAGACAGTGAGTATCGGTCTACCTCTGTAGGGCTGAAAAGCTCTGCCTTTGAATTCCTGCTAATGTCAGGATGCCAACACAAATGTCCCACCGTGGCAGTTCGTACGGTGCAAAATGAACCTCTCTGTCATACAATTGCTACTGCTTGATTACCTTATTTAGCCAGTGATGCAAACCACAGTCTTTTGTGGACAGTCAGCCAAAAGAAGCACGTACAACCATTTCAGACAGTGAACAAAACCTCTTATGAGGGTGCATACATATATACATCAACACACCCACCCCTCAATATCTATATTTATTTTCTATTTGCGTTTGCACGTGCATGTTGAGAAGTTCAAACAGGGCTCACAAATGGAATTTCTAATTACACCACCATTTTTTTTCTGTAACCATAAAAATATAATTCACCCTCTGCCTCCATTGCCTGTTACACAAAAATGAGCTATGCGTTCGGTTGGAAGATTTTAGATATACACTGATAAATAAAAGCCACATGTAAAGTCAGCTCACAAAAATTCAATCACATTCATAGCTGATGTCTGAATAGGTCACGCATGGCACTACAGGAGTCAATGGAAGCCACAGGAATTCAAGGGAGACTTCCTATTGATTTCAAAAGGACGTGGATTGGATTCAGGCAGAACAGGACGTGACAGCGAGCTTCCCCCTGCGCTAACTGAGGGCAGAGAACACATCCCTGTCTCCCAGTGCAATTCTTCATCTGGGGCCGGAAAGGTCAGCCTTTACTGTCTGGTTTGATGATTCAAAAATATATTTAAATTTCTTAAAATATTTCTGTTTAACAGACAAAATATTATTCCAGTCACACCGTATTTCTACTCACAAAATATCAGATGAGAGTGGCTCAGGTTTTGCCCCTAATAAGCAAAGGTTTCCCATAATTCATCAACAAATATATAACCCTCCTTCTAAGAATCCTAAGTCAGTGCTGAATTAATATACTCCTTAAACACAAATTTCAGGGATAACTCTAGCAGATAGCTATTGCGCAGATGACTTAGTAGCATACTATTTCATTGATATTTAAATGTTAACCATAATGAAGGCAATAAAGCATCTACGATAACAGCAATTATTTCAGAACAAAGAAGGCCAAACACTGCAAAGGGCGCTAACTGAGAGTGAACCGTCTGCGTTACAGCCCAGGTGTAGCTGCAGGAATTTAACCCTGCTGCTCTGGTTGTGCAGAGCACACAGCTCCCGCGCAGCAGGAGCTCTGCGGCTCTTGAACGGGGACGCTCAGGTAGAGGTGTGCTCCAGAGGCATTCTGCGAAGCTTTGAAGCCTTGAAAATCAGCAATGATTTTCAAGAGCGTGTGTGCCGACAGGGGTAAGCACACCATACAGTGGCATTTTTAACACATGAAGGGAGAAAATAAATTCTGCTCCAGTCATCTGCTAGCTGCTCAAAGGCCCCAGTCTCGTTTTGATCAAACTAAGATTCAAATCCATAGAAACAGATGCACAAACACCAGGAATCTGTGAGAAACAGAAAACTTCCAGAATCTTCTGACTCCTGCGACATCATATGGGGACACTTGTATTCTGCTGGGTTCTCCCCAGCCTTATACCTCCCACCTCTTCCAGAACCCAATATACCCTTGTCCCTGGATAAAGCACTGTCCTCTCATTTAGAAGTCCTCTCCCTGTAAACTATTCACATCCAAAATGCTGAATCAGGAAACTGAGGTTATAGGCAGTATTATTTATGCCAGCAAACTTCCCACCTTGGGCCGTGATCCTTGTCAGATCTTGCAAGCTAAGCAGAAGCAGACTGCAGCAGTCCTAAGGATCCTCCAAGGACTACTTGGAAGACGCATAACGTGGGATCAGCAGTCTTCGAGGTGGCACATCCTCCACCGCTATGAACTGTCATAGTCCCACTGACTTCGATTTACAACCCCAGAGGAACTGCTCTCCTCACTCACTCCTCTGCCAGTTGCCGAAACTGGTCAGAGGCACACATGGAGCTGCTTTCCTCCTCCTGAAGAGTAGACTTGCAGCCCCTACTAATCAGAATTTTTTTAAAGGAAAGAATGCTCACTCTGCAATCCTGTCACTATTTGAAAACCATTACCTACCTTCTTCCTCAAACTTTTAGTGCAAATTTAACTACGTGCAGTTGCCTTTCTGTTCTCTTCTGACTTACTCCAAATTCATGTACACCACTGTAGTCCCGACAAAGAGCTGTTAATTCCAGACTCAATGTAATTACATTAAAATCATTAACCTGTAGGAATGACTGTCGTGTGTGTGTTTTTTTTAAACAATATTTATGCACTGTTCTTTACTCCTTTCTCCACCCTCTTCAATAGGAATACAGGTGTTCAGGACTAGATGAGAATCAGAAGAAAGTTGTCCTCCTAATGCTAGAAGAAATCACACAACTTTTATGGAAGATACTTTGGGGAAAAAAAAAGAAAGGATTTAAATTTTGAACCCTACTAGTAATACAAGTATTTTATTTTAAAAACTCAGGAACTCTAAGCATCCTTTCATGTTCCTTGGACTGATTCAGAGAGCAGAAATCCCAGGCTGTCAGATCAATAGTCAAACACTCGCAATTCTGTAAATTACAGAGTACACAGAGATTTTGTTTCTCTTACTTGGAATTCAATTAATGATATAATTAAGAGCATCTAATGAATATTAGAATGCCTGGTAACTTATTCATCTGAAGTAATACTACTTTCATTACAGTATCTCTACCCGATCCGTTCCAGTGAAGTACTAGACATGAACCAAAAGAATCTTCTGGCAATAATGTCAGAAAAAGTTATACAACATAACAGAATTATCTGAAACATTAACTATTTGATTCCTTCAATTAGCACTTCAATAAATACACTGTAAAATAG